ACGTGTTAGGCCGTCGACGCTCCACGTTCGCCTTGCTTTAGCGAAGGAGCGGTATGTACGATATATAGCAACTAAGTCGGGAATTTCTAGGGACAGAGACCTCACTATGCGTAATTCACGTCTCGCCAGAGAACAGCTCCTCTTATTCTTCGTTAGCATCTCTTACACCCCACCGTAGACTATTATTATGCTATAGACGAGATATCTCTTACGCGATATGCGCTCTGTTAGATTCTAGTTACTGCTTTTTAGCGCGAAGAGCCATAACCATTCCCTCCAAATCAGATAGGTTAGTCTACAGCGTTTTAAGTTTAGCGTGCCGCGACTTTACGGCCACTAGCTATTCCGACGTAAGATTAAGCAGTCGTTTTAGCTTCACCGCCCCGTGTAAGCTTATGTAGTCATATGCCACGGCTATATTGCCTATACAACCGCTAGCGACTGCCGTTAAATCATCGACGTTAATACCTAGCGTTCTCAGACTATCCCACATATCTTTTATGGTGACTGTAAATTTCAAGCCTATCGGCAGGGTAAGGAGAGCTTCGGGAGCATCTTGGCTATACTAGGAGTCTTACGTGAAAAATATCGATAGAGTAACGGCAAAGCTTATTAAGGTGGCATCTATTACATCGCACACGTTTAAGATGTGTTTACGAGGGTCTCGAGCGGTATTGGCTATGCTTATGCGCTTATGTACCGACAGACAGGTGCCCGGCAGAGGCGTTTACCGAGGCGGCCTAATGAGCAGCAGCTTTAGGCTGCCAGGAAGAACTTGACTAATTTCAGCTTAAGCGCCTAGTTTCTGCTATTTAAGGTTAGGCGCATAAGGTCCATCGTTAAATAGCCATGCTTGTAGCATCGCGCACAACAAGACATTAAAAACGCGGGATCCTGCCCACTTGTATTATTCATATAACTACAGCACAGTAAAGCATGGCGCAGCAGAACCAGAGATCTCACGAGAAACTCAACGTCGACATCGTCCGGTTCGCAAATATCAGCCCTAAGCTCGCCACTTCTTTTCAGGCAGTATCTTCGTCCATCGCGTTATGGCGAGGTCTG